CCCAGGCTAGAAACGCTGGGGGGGGCCAGCCTGGGCCGCGCCTCCTCCCCCCACAGCCCCCTTACCTGCTTCAGGCTTCCCGCGAATTAAATGTTCGCGGGAAGCAGGGGAGGGGGCGGAGACTTTGGGGAGGGGGCGGAGTTGGGGCGTGGGCGTGGGCGGGGCTGGGGGCGGGGCCGGGGCCCCGTGGAGTGTCCTCCATTTGGAGGCACAAAATATGGTAACCCTAGAAGAAAGCAATTGCTGCTTTCTTTCAACTTGCCCCCTCCCCATATCCCAATCTGACTGTTGCTCCCCTGTCCATCAAGTCTGTGGTGCACAACTTTTGCTTCAGGGATAACCCCACTATAAGTACACAGTTCGATGTCGGTAGTCCTTGAAATCCATACATACCAAGAGAAGCTTTAATATTCACACATCTCTCCCTCCATCCACACGTCGTTTCACCTGATCCCTGGACGCATCCAAAGAGGAGAAACTTGCGTTTGCAGACATTGCAGCGCAGAGCCTCCCCTACGTCAGATAAACAGAAGAAACAATGCAGGGCTTCATCTGACAATGAGTTGGGTGGCATAATGGAGCACTGGCTATTGAAGTCAATGGGTGTAGGAGCAGACCCACAGCACAAGGCCTGGTACTGCTCCAAAGAAAAACATTATTTGGTGGGATGTAGACAGCATTTAACGCTTTGTCCACTAGGGGGACCCATCAGTTTGTTGGTCTCTGTCATATATCTTACACTTCCTGGAGGTTGAGCAGATACAGCTCTCTCTCTAGATATCTTAGGAATTTATACGGGTCCCATTACCATACTGTCTGAGTACCTCAAGTCTTTAATTCATTTATCCTCACAACACCCATACAAGGCAGGGAAGTGCTGTTTTACCAATGAGAAACAAGCCTAGAGAGACAAGGGCATAGTCTACACTAGCTAGGGTTGCCAATTTTGGTTGGATGTATTCCTGGAGGTTTCATCCCAGGACATAACCTTTACTGAAAGATTAAACTTTAGGTGTCTTATTCCCATTGTTTTCAATTTCTTTCTTTGAGTGATTCCAATATCTATGAGCAGTGGTGTGCGATATCCACACCTCAGAGGAGCGTTGTTAAGACGATCTAAGTCCCCGGGTAGGCAGCACAGAAGAATTCTCCTGGTGACCTAGCTACCACCTATCAGGGAGGTGGATTACCTTTGCCAATGGGAGAACCCCTCTTGTTGGCATAGGTAGTGTACTACAGTGGCACAGCTGCCATGGCCCCAGTGTAGCATTTTAAGTGTAGACAAGCCCTAGAGCTGTGTCTTCCGCTGTCTAACCGGAGTTTTGGTTGGCTTAACTACATCTCTGAGGGCTGTGTATTGTTCAGTGTAGACCAGCCCTAAGACCCGGAGCCTCCAAGGCAGGGATTAGATTCTGCCAGAGCTCTTCGGAGCAGAGCTTTGGTAAATATTTTCAAGGCCTGAGTCCTGGTGCTTCCTGTGGAGCTGAAGCCCTGAGCCCTGGAGCGCCATAGAAGCCCCAAACCCTGGCACACCCACAAGGCTAAAGCCCCAAGATACCTGCTCAGGGGTGCCAGAACGGGGTGGGCCAACGGGCCATGGCTCATCCACTTTTCGCCCTGGCCCCCTGCCCCTCCTCTTCTCCCTGAAGCCTAGCCCCTAGGTCAGGCCAGAAGCCAGAGCTGGGTCGGGATAAGAACCACGTGAGCAGCTGTGGGGAGCTGTGGACTCTCCATCTGCCCTGGGCAGGGAGTCCGGTGGGTGGAGACATGGGCTGGGGGCTGCTTTTGGGCGCCCCCACCTCAGGCAGGTGGAGGGGCCTGGGCTCCCCGGCAGGGCTCAGGGGTAAAGGTGCAGGGCCCTGGAGTGGGCAAAGCATCGTGGATCCCCCAACACTTTTAGGAAGAATCTGTTGCCCCTGACCCTGACCCACAACTGAAACCCAGAGCCGCAAATGGGGGGGGAGGGGTTGGAATTGGGGGCTCCGGGAAATACAGTGTGAGAATTTATGCCCTGTTCAAAGGTATTGGAATCAATCTATCAAAGAAATAAAATGAAAACAATGGGAATAAGACACCTAAATACCTTTGAGGAACTGGGGCTAAGGCATGGAGAGAACATGGAATTGAACCCAAGCCAGTGGACCAGCCTTTCTTTATAAGCTAAAGAAACCCTTGTTCTGCAGTGTCTAACAACCAGCCCATTGGAAATTCATATCTGAATTCTGTTCTAGCATCTGGATGTTGTCCTTTTAAAAATTCAATTTAATTCAACTTTTGTCCTGGACTTACCTCCTGCAAAGCACAAGAGAGTGGCCAGTCCCACGAAAAAAACCTTCATGTCAGCAGAGAAAGAGGTAAGATGAACTGGACAGCCTGAGCGTGCTTCAGCAGAACACCACCAGGGATATCTCCAGAACTGGCTGTGGTGGAGCAGAGATTCAGTCTTGCTTTCTCTGAGCCTGTCGGCTTATGCGGTGCCTTCCCTATTGTAGGGTGGAAAAAATGAGTTTGAAAATTGCTCTACAGTAAAGAGTACAAATTGCCAGCTCAAGGGACCTTCTGACTTCCCCAAGAAAAAACTCAGTGGTCATCACATTTCCAAAAAGGTGGTGAAGGAAGCCCCCAAGGAACACACACAATAGCCGGGCCTGTCTGCCTTTATATTTTCTTTCATTAACAATCTTTTCGAATAGGCATGAAGCTGAGGCTCTGACCACATGAATGTAATTAACGATCTGTGGACAATTTTTGCAACAACAGCTATTTTTCTTTTGCAGCTCTATCCCAATTGCAAATCAGCCAACAAATCAGGATAAAATGCTGCTGACGAATATAATCTGGGGCCATGTGTCTCATTCTGATCAGCTCCCTTTAAGAAAGATGTAGCTGAGATTCAGATTTTAAGGGGAGAAGGGATGTTTGAGATCATTCTAGTCTGACCTCCAGCATAGCACAAGATGTAGAGTTTCACCCAGTGATTCCTCCACTGGAGGGATTTATTCTTGGCTTGGAAAAGGTCCAGAGTAGGTCAGCAAAATTGGTCAGAGTAATATGATGAGAGATTTCAGGGACTAGAATTTTTTTAGCCTGATAGAGAGAAGATCTGGAGTTAGATTGGGAGTAAATCTGTTTTTCATATTTTCCATACTGGGAGGTTAGCTGGTATGTTTCATTTGAAAGAAAGAAAGAAAGAAAGAAAGAAAGAAAGAAAGAAAGAAAGAAAGAAAGAAAGAAAGAAAGAAAGAAAAGTGAATATGGTCACGGGCACATAGGGCAGAAAGTACACGGATGGGTGCTCTCTTCTGGCTCAGATCCTCAGTGCTGTAAATCAGCGTAGCTCCTTTGAAGTCAATGGTCCTAAATTTGTTTAGGTCAGTTAAGGATCTGGCCCTCCTTGTTTTGTAATTCATCTTCCTGGGGCTCATGAGTGCCCTGGCTTGAATCATCTTTACTTTGCTATTCAGTCATCTCTTATGATAAACACCCTCCTGCTCCCTTTGGCTGAGCTCCAAGCCCTGAAGCAAACACAAAAGCCACGTTCAATGCCAATAGTGTAGCTGCTGACCTCCATGCTACAAGTAGAAAACAATGTTCTCTTATGAGTTACTGGACTTCATGCAAGACAAAGGACTTGCTAGAACCACAGGTTTCCTCTTTCTCTGGATCTGCTACCAAAGAAGGGATTTTGACTACGCCTGAAATTACGAATCTAAGCTTCCACTACTGGAGGGGACGACAGGACCTGCCAACAAATGAGCTGTCACCAGGGCACATTTATAAGACCAAAGACAGGCGAGTGCATGAATGTGCAGAATATTGGGGGCGCAGCCCACTGGAAAATTTGTACTGAGCTGGGAATGATTAATCACCTTTGACCCAACACAGGACTTAATGCTACAAACTTTATATTAAAAGTTCTATGCTTTACCAACTGAGCTAAGCAGGCTCATGGAGAACACACTAGCTGATCCTGTACTTAAATAGCTGCCTAGGAAACATCACCTTCTGTAATAAAGGTGTGTCTTGACCTTTGGTATAAAAGCAACACAGAACAGTCGGACCCGTATTCTGCTCTCACTGATTTTAGAGGGTGAATCTTGTGCAGTTAATATTCTTTAAACAGGTCTAATGAAAGCTACAGGTGTTAGCTGGAGCCCAGCAGAGGAAGAAGAAGAAAGATGATGAACACTTTATGTAGAAAAGTCAAATGCAATTCAAATCTTATTGGGGGATCTCTTACCAGACGATATCCAGCCAAGCAGCCTGCTGGCAAACTGAAGTCCGAGGGTCTGCCGTCTCAAGGTCTCCGCCTGCCTTCTCATAAGATCCACCTCAGTTCCACATACAAAATAATTCTGTTTGAACCAATGGTCACAGGTTGTTCAGTCCCCAGGGTGGGGGTGGGGATATTGTTTCCCTGGAACAATGCTTTCCCCCACGCACTCTGCACCTGAGTAAACAGACGCCTCACCCTCCTTTCCAGCACTGTGCTTCCCGAACACAGATAAGTTAACTCAATGTATGTCTACACTGCCGTGTAAGCCCAGGGTTAGTAGAACTCCAGTTCATAGGCACCAACTCCGTTGGTGCTCCCGGGCTGGAAAATGAGCGGGTGCTTAGCACCCACTGGCAGCCAAGCTGCTCCCCTCTTCCCCCTCCCTCCCAGCACACCACGGAAGAGTTGTTCAGTGGTGTGCAGGAGGAGCTGGGTGGGAGGGGAGGAGTGGGGATGTGGACCAGGGATGGGGCCAGCATTAGGGGTATCAAGCAGGACAATTGCTCAGGGTCCCATGCCACAGGGGTCCCCACAAAGCTAAGTTGCTCAGGCTTTAGCTTCAGCCCCAGGTGGCAGGGCCCTGGGTTTCAGCCCAACACTGCAAGGCTTCAGCTTTCTGTCCTGGGCCCCAGCAAGACTAACATTGGCTCTGCTTTGCGGCCCCCCTGAAACCTGCTTGCGGCCCCCTAGGGGTCCCCAAACTCCTGGTTGAGAACCACTGGGCTAAACCACTTGAGTCCACTTGAGTCCTGCATATTTAGCTCCCAGCTGGCAGTTTCCCCCTCTTCTGTTTCTTTGGAGCTAACTACAAACAGCCTCATGGCCCCATTTCATGTCAGAAACATCTATTGACCGATGATCACATTTCCCCTGCTTTCCTGTCTAGGCAGTATCGGGGTGTGAGGAATCAGAAAATAATCATTGGAAATTTCTAAGCCAGCCTTTTAACATACAACATCACTTTCCCCTTTTAAAATAACATTTTTTCTATAACACTTTTGAAGACTCAACACCTTGTTCTTCTTCAAACGATGTTAACACAAGCTCTGAGCTACTAATTTCCTTACTGTTCCCTTAATATTTTTAGCAGAGTACATTGCCATAAAAGATAAACAGAAAACAAATTAAAACCATTTTCAATATTATTAATTGAGGACACATCTTTTTTTAAAAAACAATCGGTTTATTACCTTCTTGTTTTACTCTCAAGCCTGTTTTTATAAATCATTAGTGATGAAGTAACAAGGAGTTACAGAAATGTACAAGGAATGAATACAATGTGGTCGGAATCTTCAGCCTGAAAAAATCTCTATGAAAATAAATAGGGCTGTGCGGAGACTATGAAAGGGAAGTAGTTATATGCAGCCCTGTGCAGAGCTGGAGACAATGTAAAAAGAAGTAGAGACGCTACTGATCGCTGAAGGGGGACAAGCAGTACTGAAGGGTTATTTTTTTTCTCTCTCTTGTCTGGGGTTGAACAGAAAAGGAGAAAAATCATCTCTCACTCTCATAGGAATATGGTACTGTCAATTTGTCCTCTTTTCATGTTGTGTTAAAGTTCAGAGACAGGAAAAGTAATTTCCTGCCTAAGATCATCGTGAGAACAGAGAATGCATTTCAATTCAGGCCGAGACAGTAACCAAAATAATGATACTGTAGCAGCAAAACTTACCGCCCAACGTGGGGCTCGAACCCACGACCCTGAGATTAAGAGTCTCATGCTCTACCGACTGAGCTAGCCAGGCTGCACTTGTAGACCTCCCCCATGCATCGTAACAGTAGGGAAGGAACCCTAGGGAAGTTTGTGCTCTGAGGTTCCTTTTCTGACAGTAACCTTCTTCTGGTTCTTTCATCCTCCAGCTACGAAATCGGAGTGTTACAAGGGTCCAGACGCTGGGGGAAGTCACCACCTGATAACCACAGCATGCTGGATCACCCCCACCTCTCTGCTTTACACACCGCAAGCCAACTCCCGCCTTAAATAGGGGTGTCAGTGTAATGAAAGCCAGTTTCACTTTCTGCTTCTCTGCTGCTCTTCATTCACAAACCTGACCCCCCCCTAAAAGGTACATTCCTCTATCCTCCTTTAGTCAACCCTATAAGAACAGTAAAGAAAATAAGAAGAGATCAGTTCATTCATTAAACTAGCACGGTTTTCCCTTTGGTTATGTTAACACGAGAGATCTCTCAATGGAATAACGTCTCCAAGCAGCAGCTGTGGGGCCTTCGGGTGTAGCAGATAAAACTCTTTGTCAAAAGGATTTAGGAAATAAAAACAACATCAACACTGAGCTGCCCCTTTCCGTCTCCCTCACGCCCAGGGAAATCATCCCTCTCGTCTCTAACCAAAACAATTCGGAAATTTCTCAGACCAGCGCTCCTGGTGCTTTCCCAGCAGGGTCTGGGAGCCGCTGGTCTTAGGGGAAATGGGCTGGTTTTGGATTCGAACTATATGCAACGGGATAAAACTTTAATAATGTGAAACAGCTAACAGAATTAGTTCAATTCACCTGTTTTTCACTGCAGACATTAAAAGACGTGATCTCCGCTGCTAAGGAAAGAGTAAGACAATTAACCTTTTGGGCCACTGAGCGTCATTATTCACTTGCTCAAGTGGTGTCGAGTCATTTAACTTTCCCCCCATCATCCTGTTGAGACGCCGTTTAATGTGAACGGACGGCTCCGTTCTGTGCTGTTTGTTAGTATCATGCCCTAGAAATAGATGAACTCCTAGAGAGGGGGATTTAGTGTTCTTCCATCAGGGGGAGGGACTGTTTAACTGATCTAATGTGGGAAAGTCACCGCTTCCCGAGAGGGGGCAGACAAGACGGTTCACATTTTTTGCAGGGCACCAGGTCCCCCTGGGGAGAAGCTCCTCAAAGGAAACTTGGCCGCAGGAATGTCAGAGAAGGGGGTGACTGTTTCCATTAGGAGGTGGGTGAGGGAAACCTGCAGGTATTTGGGCCTCCAGCTTCTGGTGAAGGTATTTGTGGGGAAGGGCCTAGGACACCTGATGAGGCCAAGGAGAGAAGAGCAGGGGTGTTCAGCCCTTTGGCTGCTTCCTGAATGTATGGAATTGACAAATTAGGAGCAGGGGGCAGGCAAAGCTCAGGGTTTTGTCACACAGAATCAAACTCCTGTCAGCTTCTGTGAGGTAGTATCGAAACCCCTCCCTTGCTTTTAGGACAGAATTACTGTCAGCCCCATGTGTCTTCCTGGAAGAGGCTCTAAGTAGGCAGAAGAAGAAGCTGAGAGGGCTGCACAGGTGTAAATGAAAGCAAACGAGGCTTGTTCCTCTTGAGATTTGTTTGTGTTGTTCTTGTGATGCTGGTGTAGGAGGCTGAAACTTAAGTGGAGTTTGTTTCAGTAGCCTTTGGTTGGGCTCAGGGCAGGCTGTGACCCTGAGGTTCCTTCATTCCCTCTTGTTGTCCTTTCTGGGCAACAGAGAATGGACCAGATTCACAACTTGGAGATAAGGTAGACTGCGTAAGCCTAGGACAGGTAACAAAAGCTTGTAGTAAGACCTCCCTGGTGGTCTAGTGGTTAGGATTCGGCGCTCTCACCGCCGCGGCCCGGGTTCGATTCCCGGTCAGGGAAGCAGACCTTTTTCAACTT